CAACTCGAAGCTTTGATGGTTCTAAGAGAAAAGTTTACCTACTTTTTACTGTCGTTTATTCCACGCACGCTTAATTTCAGAGCCGATAGGCTAGCGAATAGTGCACATATGATGAAATCTAATATTTATTATGTAAGCTCGTTACCACCAATCTGGGCAACCGATGGGTAATAACATAGCTTATAATGCCATTGACAAAAAAAAAAAAGCTAACTATCTTCTAAGATCAACAGAATATGCAGTTTTGAAAATAGTCCACTAATGTATGTTATCATATAGTTAACTCTTTTATCAAATATATACTTTTTTGTCATTTGCTATTTTCTGATCCAATTTTATTTTGTTTGCAGAGAGTATATATACTTTTATAGAGATAAAGACAGAGGAATATAATTTTTTATGGATTTTTTTCATTCTTATTTTAATTTTATCTGTTATTTGTAGGGATAATTTCATCATATATTTAATTCTCTCTACTAGTTACCTAATTTTATTTTTTGACATGTTACTTACCCTATTTTCTCTCTCAAAAGTGAAATTCAACTAATTAACTCTTAAATTAACTAATTAAAATATTCAAATTAATTCTATATGTCATGTTAGAAATCTCTAAATATTCACTATTCTAATATGAACTCACAAATACATATCTTATTAATTTAAATCAAACTAAAATATAATATTTTAATATTTAAGCGTTATATAACATAATATTTTAACGATGAATCATCTACCGATGCAAATTACTTTATAAGAATTGTAGTTATATCTATTTAGTAACCATATATGATTGATCATATAATTATTTTATTTTTTTATCGTTTAATTGTATCCATATTAATCTAATTAAAGTTATATTTTTTTATAAATGTACAACTTTACAAATTAAACATTAATGGTTGAATTTTGAAAATCATCATTTTCATCTTTTATTATTTCTTTGATTTTTTATTTAAGAAGATTTACATATTAACGCGATATGTTTTGGGTTTAATGAGTTCAAATAAGTTTGAGAGAACCCATAATCTCAAACATATTCGATTTACATTAAAAACGCTTGCATTCAATCTAATTTTTATGGAGATTAAAATTTGTATGATAAAATATATTTATCTATATAGGAGATATACCATTTATTTTTTTTTTTCTGCACATGAAAAATTATAATTTTTAATTTCAAATATTAGAATCCTGCATAGTTA